AATGGTAAAGCTAGAAATCAAACCCAATCCAGCATTGGACCCTCTGAGTTTAATCATTATACTACACCGCCTGGAAATCACACCTATGTCCCCAAATCATGTTTTCTAAGAATATTTGATAAAAGAGATTAGATGCTAAAATTTAAAAACCAGTATAAGAACCGCTAAAGTTCAGGAAATAATGCCAAGAGTTAATAAATGGGACAGAATCAAATTAAAAATCTTTTCTGCTTAACAAAAGAAACAGGACTATGAAGAAGGAACCTATAGAATTGGAGAAAATCTATGTTACCTACTCTTCAGACAGTATTAATGTCTAGAACATATAAAGAACTCAAAAAACTTTACACCAAAAAAAGTCAAATAATCCAATTAATATGGACAAATGAATTAAACAGAGTATTCAAAAGAAGAAATACAAATGGCCATCAAATACATGAAAAAATGTTCAGGATCATTAGCAATTAGGGAAATGCAAATCAAAACTACAATGAGATTTCATCTCACTCCAACTAGAATGGCAGTCACCAAGAATACAAATAATAAATGCTGGAGAGGATGTGGAGAAAAAAGAACACCTTTACACTATTGGTGGGACTACAAGTTAGTACAACCACTATGGAAATCAATGTGGAGGTTCCTCAAAAGACTAGGCATGGAACCACCATCTGACCAAGTTATACCACTTCTCAGTATTTATCCGAAAGAATTATAGTCAATATAATACAGCAGTACAAGCATAGCATACCCATGTTTATAACAGCACAATACCATAGCCAAACTGAAGCCAGATTTAAAGTTAGGTAGTCAGTGTAGTTAGGTAAACCGGGTCTAATACCGAGTGAAATCTAAAATGGAGGCCATGCTGAGAATGACTCAGGGAAAACACAGGACAACTCATGGAATGTTAATGAAGTCCTGAAGAGGCCCTAGGCCAAAGTCCATCCCAAAGAAGTGTTAATGAAGTCCTTCCTGCTCAGACTACTCCTTTGGTCCACCTGTGTCCCACCCCTCGGGCCTTCTCACCTACATTCCATCACCAAAACTATAAAAAGGGGAGACAACCTCTACGGATTCCACCTCTTGGGAGAAGTCTGTTCTGCTGTCCTTTAATAAACTTCTAATTTCTACTCTGACCTTGCCTCAGCGTGCTTCTTTGGTGTTATTCTTCAACATCAGGGAAGCAAGGACTCCTCACCGGTCAACAGCGGTAACAAAACTATGGTACCAGCCTAGGTGTCCATTGGTGGATGAATGGATAAAGAAAATGTGGCCACATACCCAATGGACTTTTATTCAGCTAAAAAGAAAAATGATACGTCATTTGAGAAAAGTGGATAACTAGAGACCATCCCATTAAGCAAAATAAGTCAAACTCAGGTGGTATGCCTTCTCTCATATGAGGAAGCTAGAGAGAAAAAAGGAAAACAAAGGTGGGGGTGGATCTTCTAAAAATCAAAGTGAGGGCTATAGCTGTGGCTCATCAGTAGAGCTACAGCACTCATCTAGCAGTAGCACATGCAAGGTGCTGGTTCAATCCTTAGCACCACATAAAAATAAATAAATAAAATAAAGGTATTGTATCCAACTACAATTTAAAAACATATATATTTTTTAAAAAATCAAGGTTTGGGTTGTGGCTCAGGTAGAGTGCTCACCTAGCACAGTAAGGCACTGGGATTCAATTCTCAGCACCACAGGAAAATAAATAAATAAAAATAAAGGCATTGTGTCCACCTATAACTAAAAAAAATATTTAAAAAAAAACAAAATCAGTAGAGGAAAGGGACTAAGGGGTGGGAAGTAGGACAGGGAAATGCTGGGGAGTGATATTGGCCCAATTATATTGTTATATGGTGTGCATGTATGAATATGTAACAATAAATCCCCTCAATATGTACAACTATAATGTACTAATAAAAAAGTATGTGGGGGGAAAAACAGTATATAAGACATAAAAGTATGATTTTTTATTTTGATTTTTTAAGTTATTTTTTGGGGATTGAACCAGAGGTGCTTTATCACCGAGCCACATCCCCAATCTTTTTATTTTTTGGGGTTTTTTTATTTTTATTTTTTTGGTACGGGGAAATGAACTCAGGGATACTCAACCACCGAGCCACACCCCAGCCCTATTTTGTATTTTATTTAGAGATAGGGTCTCACTGAGTTGCTTAATGCCTCACCACTGCTGAGGCTGGCCTTGATTCTTCTGTCTCAGCCTCCCCAGCCCCTGGGATTTAAGGCATGCGCCACCATGCCCAGCCTTTTTATTTTTTAATTTTGAGACAGGGTCTCACTAAGTTGTTTAGGGTCTCAATTTATGATTCTGCTGCCTCAGTGTCCTGAGTAGCTGGGATTATAGGTGTGTACCACCATGCTCAGCAGGATCATTTTAAAAATGATAAATTTTATGTAAGATGGGGCTGGGGTTGTGGCTCAGTGGTTGAGCACTTGCCCAGCATGTGTGAGGCACTGGTTTCGATTCTCAGCACCACATATAAATAAATGAATAAAATAAAGGTCCATCAACGTCTAAAAAATTAAAAAAATATATATAGAGAAAAAATATATGGAAGGTATTAGAGAAAAAATATATGGAAGGTATTTCACTCATAATAACAATAGATTTCTGGGAGTAAAATCATGAATGATTTTAATTTTTTTATACTATTCTTTATCTGTCTATAAAGTCCATTTATTATCTTTTAATTAAAAAAAAAAACACTACTTTAAAAAATGTTGCTTTTGGGCTGAGGTTGTAACTCAGGGGTAAAGCGTTTGCCTTGCATGCATGAGGCACTGGATTTGATACTCAGCACCACATATAAATAAATAAAATAAAGATATTTACATCTACATCTAAAAAAATATTTTTTTAAATTAATTAATTTATTTTTTAGGTGTAGATGGACACAACACAATGCCCTTTTATTTTTATGTGGTGCTGAGGATCGAACCCGGGTCCTGCCCATGTTAGGCGAGCGCTCCACCGCTGAGCCACCATCCCAGCCCTAAAAAAATATATTTTTAAAAAATGTTGTTTTGGGGGCTGGGGCTGGGGCTTAGCAGTAGAGCACTCGCTTAGCACGCGCACGCACGCACGCACGAGGCACTGGGTTTGATCCTCAGCACCACATAAAAACAAATAAATAATCTAAACATTAAAAAAAACTTATGAATCAACAAAGAAACCATAATTTAAAAAAAAATTTTTAATGTTGTTTTTATGAAATAAAGGGAAAATTATATACTAAGCTTAAAAACCAGAATATAGCCAGGTGCAGTGGCATGCATACACCACTAATTCCAGTGAAATTCCATGACTCACAGGAGGGTTGAGGCCAGCTTGGGCAACTCAGCAAGAACCTCTCTCAAAAAAAAAAAAAAAAAAAATTGCAGGCTTGGGGAGTAGGGAGAGCTGTAGTTCAGGGGTAAAATGCAATTAATTAATTTATAAACCAGAATATAAATTCATACACAGAGTCTGATCCCAAGTCTATAAAAAGATGAAGACAATATTAAATTATTAAAAGTACTCATCTCTTAGTGAGAGATGAGAGATTATAGGTAATTTGAGGATAATTTAATTCTCTCCTTAATGACCATGTTTAGAATCATACACTTACTCCCTTTTTTTATAGATGAGTCATGCCAGAATCTTCAGGACCAAAGTCTATTAAACACATAGGTGAATACTAATCATCCTTTCTCCTCCCAGGAGTATGTTTTCTCCTCACTGTCTCAAGAGGTATGGAGGGAATTCCCTCTATTGTTTGCTTTAACAAAGTCCTTAAAGTCAGGAGGCATGGTGTACTATACAATCCATATTGCTAGTTCCAAGGTACTCTCAGTCTATTTTTAATATTGTAGACAAACTATATATAGCCAAAGCTTTTATAAACAGAGATAAGGAAAGAACAGGGTATAATTAAGAACGTTTGGCAGCACAGTGCTATGGAACACAGAGAATTCTGGGCTAACTCAAGCTCTAGCTCTGCAAGGTTGTATAACCATCTTCTCTCCTTTCAAGGGCTTCACACAGAATCCCTCTTTACATAAGAATCCCTCTCACATAAGAGAGAAAAGAAAATGCAAAAAATAAAAAAGGATGCATGGGGATCTCATCCTTAATGTAGGGTAGAAGCTACTTTTTTCTCATGAGCTGCAGGCAAAGCTTATTTACAAAGTCAGTATACAGAAAAATGAAACACCAATAAGAAAAAGCCATTTTGGTGTGGTACTTGCTGCTTGGAATGGACCTCAAAGAGTGGCAGTAGCAGGAAGAAGGGGGTCCTATGGGCTTAGGAATAAGGCCTTGGGACCCTGCAGTCTATAGAAGCCTATTTCCTCACTGATGCCTTTAAACTAGTTTAAGATGAAAAGCTGAGAAGTAAAATAACACTTTTTTCTTTTTGAGCAGCACAATATAGGACTCAACACTGACTTTTTAATTGTTTTCTGTGTTAAGTTTCAACTAGTTGATGTTGAAACCTATCTCTTGAAACTGACCAAAAAAAAAAAAAAAAAGAGCACCAGACAAGATAAATATAAGACATGTAATAACCTGTCACAGAGAGTAGACGAAAGACCTCAGGAACAGCCAAGAAGAATGTGAGGCTCTAATATCTCTCAGGATCAATCGACTCTGATGAAATTACTCCTTCCAAAGGTAAGGTATCTCCCTTTTCCCCAAAAGGCAAACTGCTTTTTTTCCCCCCATCTTTCCCTGCATTACTAGGGATTGAACCCAAGGGCACTCTAACACTGAGCTATATCCCAGCCTTTTTTATTTTTTATTTTGAGACAGGGTCTCACTAAATTACCCTGGCCTTGAACTTGTGACCCCCCTGCCTCAGCCTCCTGGAATTACAGTTTTACACCACTATACCCAGCAAATTATGCTATTTAAATATAAGGCACCCATACCATTATTACAGCACCCCCACACACACACCCATGCCCCCACATATCCTCTCACATTCAGCCCCCATACTTACATATGCAAGCAGCAGCAAGAAGACGGCAGGCCAGGTACGGGGGATCACAGGTGGGGAAGGAGGGCTGGATGATGTAGTTGGCGAAGGTGATGGCGATGATGGCCTGACTGGTGGGCTCAATGATTAGCAGTGAGGCCCATAGGCGAATGAAGGCAATAAAGCCCCCAAAGGCCTCTAGAATATAAGCATAGCTGGCCCCTGACTTGGTGATAGTGGTCCCCAGTTCTGCATAGCAAAGGGCGCCCACAACAGAGAAGAGCCCACCAATGGCCCACACGACCAGTGACAACCCATAGGAGGCAGTGTATACCAGCACCCCCTTGGGTGAGACGAAGATCCCTGAGCCAATCATGTTGCCCACCACCAGGCTGACCCCATTCAGCAGAGAGATCTCCTTCTTCAGCTGCATGGCTTCTGAGGGAACTTGAGGTGGCAAGCTGACATCTTCTTCCACCCTGGGCTGGCTGGCCTCAGGGATGAGATGGTAGCTGGGTACGGGGTTCACAATCTCTCTGGCTTCCATGACAAATGGTTCCCGCACAACTGTGTTTACACTAGCCTGGTAAAGAAAACAAGTATGTCAAATCTTTGGCAGGAGTTGGTGAGGTTCTGGTTTAGACCTGCGAGTCAGGCAAATTTCCCTGCCCACTTCCTGCTTAGGGACAGACAGTATGCTACACACAAAATACAATATATTTCTCAGTTCCCACAATAGGACACAGGAAAATGGAGATAGGCAGACTTCTAATGCTTCTGAGAAAGATACCCATGAGAAAGAATACAGGCATGATTTGATGGTGGTTTCTAACAAGAGACCTGTGGGTAGGAACTGGGTTTGTCCACTGGATTCATTCTCCCTGAGTGTTGGTTTTGCTCTTTTCTTACCAGCTTAAAACACACAAACCTACCATGCAGAGAAGACCAAAGATCCTGCAGCATGTACATAGCCTTCTCAAGCCTGAAAGGCCTCTCATTGTATACACCAAGTATACAAGCTGCCTACCAAGCTGCCTACCCAGCTCTCATATAAAGGACAAGAATAATTATCACAGTGTCCAGCCTCACACAGAGAGATCTATAGCTACTCTCAGGATAGCAAAGAACATGAGCAGTACAGAGAAGGATTAAAAAGATCCTTAGACAAGAGTATATCACTTTTGCAGGGACTGGATCAAGAAGAGAACATGTGTGGAAATACATACCCGTGTTCACTCACCTTAATCCCCACATTGCTGCTTGCCCATTCAATACCTTTCTTTTTCCAAAGTACCCCAAAGAAAGTGATTATACAACAAGACAAAAATGGAGGAAGGATCTCCAAGGAGCACCATAAACTGGGGTTAAACATTTGTCTACTTGCTTTCCTCAATACACCCCTCACTTTTACCTGGGGCTGAAATTCTAAGATTTTTCCAGAACATTATCCTGGAGTCTTGACATCCAACAAAAGCTATAGGCTTCTCTTAGTGACAGATTTGGCATTGGAAAGCATCCCATAGAGAGATGGTACATACAGTACCACTTTTGGATTAGAGTTGGGCTAATCCAGAAACCTTAGGGAAGTTGGATTCACATTATACTACCTACAAAGGACCCAGAATCTGTCAGAGAAAGACAACTACCTTCCTTATCCTGTGCTTGGTGTAGACTTCGTCCTCCCTAAATTTCTGTGTGGGCCATGCTTCAAATCCCCTGAAATTACCTCACTTTTTAGGAAAAGGAATCCGGTGGGCTATTTGATTCCCATCCAGGAGTCAGTCTATAGAGGTCAAAGGGATAACTTCCAGGGATAAGAAGGCAATCAGCACATCATTTTTCCAGAAGCCTCCACACCACTCAACAAAGATGTATATGACATATCCTGGCTTCACTAAGCTCAGAGCAAGGGAATCACAGTCACTCAAGAGTGAGGAAAGGCACAATAGCACACACCTGTAATCCCAGCTACTCAGGAGGCTAAAGCAGGAGGATCACAAGGCCAGCCTCAGCAACTTGGTGAGAATCTGTCTGGGGGGCAGGGGGGGGAGGGGGAGCGTGTACACACACACACACACACACACACACACACCTGTCGGGGAAAATTTTGATCTCCACAGATCCCACCCGATGTTCCTGCCTTACCTGTCCCAATTCTGTTACAGAGTCTGGACATGAGCCTGAGTGAAAAAGTTTCTCTGGGGCACCAGAAGCCTTCCCCCGTCCCAGAGATGAGCCAGCCTATCTCTGCTTAGATAGGACAGGGCTTTCAGGCAGCACCACTTTTATTTTTCACCTCTGACACCAAGCCATGCAGGTTTCCCTATGCAGGCATGTGGGAACAGATTTGTTTTCACATGTCTGTCAGGTGAGTCCAGGCATTCATGGGAACAAATCCAATAAACAGCTGAGAACCCATATTCTCATGTGAGAGTCAGGTGCCCAGAGACCTAGGTTACCTTTTCTACCGTATTCAGCACAGAAATGAAGAGCAAAGATGCCTGGTGCCAGTGACTGTTTCAACTTCTTCTATTCCATCAGATCCCAGTTGGAGGTAGGAAGCTCAGGCTACCAGATCTTCCTTTTGTACTTGTACAGTATGACAATGGTGCATCTGATGTGACTATTTTACTTTTTTATTCAGCAAGGGACTGTACCCAGGGATGTTCTACCACCCAGCCCCTTCTGTTCTTTATTTTGAGATAGGGTCTCACTGAGTTGTGCAGGCTGACCTCAAACTTCTGATCCTCCTACTTCAGCCTCCTGAGTACCTAGGATTATAGACAAGTACCACTGTACCCAGCTCTGACGTGCTCTGACATGCCAGTGAAACTATCCAGTAGTTTATTTAAAAGTGAGAGTACAGTCACAGCTCCACAAGCTGTTTCCTAGCATCTCAGTCCCAGCAACTGAATAAGGGACAAGATTTCTGCTGGAATTTAAAAAGAACTCCTCCTTCAGCCAAGAAGAGTTACCCTCACAGACAACTGAGAGTAGTTGAGGTTTCTTTCTCTTCTTTCAATAACAAAATGTGACTGACTCTAAGCACATGTCCTTGGACAAAAGTAATTAAAGTTCCTTCTCTTTGTAAACACCCAAGAGCAGACTTGTGATGTAACTCCAGCAAGCTCCCCAAGAACAGATGGCTAAATCCCAGGATGGCTTGGCCACACAACTCCAAGGCCATCCCTCCCCTGCCTTCTCTGTCTAGATCTCACTTCACATGCCTCCACAAAAATCTAAGCACATGGGATATAGGTGGGATGTAGATGAGTTATAGAGAGCTTGCCTAGCATGTATGAGGTCCTGGGTTCTAGCCCCAGTACTGTAAAAAATAAAATAAGTGCCTATAATATGAAAAAGATCGTTAGGGACCATGCCCTCAACACAAAATCAGGCAGTATGGTAGTATGGAAGTGAGAAGGTCCTGTAGTCAGAGACCACAGCTTACCAGATGTATCTCACCCTTCTCTTTTCCAGCTCTTCTTCCCTAACAGCCTCACTGACCTTTTGTAAGCATCAAGTTAGGCAATATGAAATTCTTCAGCATGAAGCTTTCTTAGCCGAGTTAATATTGCTGAAAGATAACTTCTAGAAGCAAGGAAAAGAGGGAAGAAGTGACATAAGGTTATTTCACTGGAAGAAAAAAAATCTAGCATAAAATAGGAAGTTCTTGACTATTAACTTCCTCTTAGAAACAAAGTATTATTCCCACTTCAGTGACAAGAAAAATCCAGATAATCTATAAAACCATAATTTCCTTGAAACCATAAGAAAGCTGAGGTTACAGGGCAACTAACTAGAGTAAAACTGAAGGAAAGACAACCACTTCCAACAAGAGAGAAATATAAGCTCCATTTAGTGGGAAAATGATGGGACCACCATATAAGTGGGCAAGAATAATTCAAGAACTTTTTCAATGAGTTACTAAAGGTCAAATATGGGTTATCAAGAGCCACCCATTCAGAGGTTTTTCTCTTTAGGCCCCAGTATGTGCTCACATGAAATATTGGGCAGGACTTCAACAGATGAATGGATAAAGAAACTGGAATATATACACAATGGGATATTACTCAGACTTAAAGAAGAATGAAATTATGGCATTTTCCAGTAAATGGGTGGAACTGGAGAATATTATGCTAAGTGAAATAAGCCAATCCCAAAGAACCAAAGGCTGAATGTTTTCTCTGATATGTGCATGCTAATTCACAATGGGTTGGGGGAAAATAGAGGTTTTTTTAATATTTATTTTTTAGTTGTAGTTGGACACAATACCTTTATTTTATTTATTTATTTTTATGTGGTGCTGAGTATAGAATCCAGAACCTCGCATGTGCTAGTGAGCGCTCTACTGCTGCCACAACCCCAGCCCAAAGAGATATTTTGGACTAGACAGAAATAGTGAGAGAAGAGAGGGGAGATGGCATGAGGGTAGCAATGATAGTAAAATGAATCGGACTTTATTACTCTATGTGCATATATGATTACTTGTCCTGTGTAACTCTACATCGTGTACAATCAGATGAATGAGAAGTTATGTATGATATGTCAAAATGCATTCTACTGTTATGTATAACTAATTAGAACAAGTATAAAAATATATTTTAAAAAAAAGAAAGAAAGAAATACTGGGCTGGGGATATAGCTCAGTTGGTAAAGTGCTTGCCTCGCATGCACAAGGCCATAGGTTCAATCCCCAGCACCACCAGAAAAAGAAACACTGGGCAGAGTGTCTCTCTCTCTCTCTCTCTCTCTCTCTCTCTCTCTCTCTCTCTCTCTCTCTCTCTCGTACTCACTGGCCTGGAAAAGGAACAATATAAAGCCAATTTGACCCCACAGAGAAAGGACAGCAAACTCTGTCACTCCCAAGGTAACTGGGGCAGGGTACC